CTGGGGAATTCTGGGAGTTGAAGTCCACACGTCTTAAACTTCCAAAGGTTGAGAAACACTGATCTAGATCTGCTGCAAAAGATGACATTGATCCAGAAGATCTTCCTCCTAATATTATAAAAGATTCTTCCTGATTGAGTTTGCACCACCCATTTAGCTGAGTTAAACTGAGCCCCTGCATTTGCCTGACATGTTACACTTAGGATTAAATTTGGTTAGCTTTTTTGTCACTCAGCATATAGTACACCCTTGGCCCATGTGGATGGTTCAATTCGTCTATTTTGCAAACCCAGAAAATGGATTAACTGAATAACGTTTAAGGAAATTGGGCAAACCCAGCACTGGTTTTCTGGTAGGAACCCCTTCGCAGCTGCACTCTAGACTAAGAAGAAATAGAAAATTCATTTCATCCAGATTTTTCATTCAATATACTGAATTTGGATCAGCCAAATATATAGGAGAACAAGGAATGTGTAGGTCTGCTAAGACCCACACTTTCAGAATTTTGTGACATGGCATGCAACACACACACAGACATACACTATATTAAGTATAGGTAGTCCCCAGTTTAAGAACGAGTTGCATTCCCAAGGTCTGTCCATAAGTCGAATTTGGATGCAAGCCAGAACAGGGTTAGTGTATAATACTGTATAAGCAGCATTGTGTAATGAACTCAAACCATTGTGGATTTAATTCGAATCATTGTGCATTGAACTCCAATTTTGCTACAATAGGCTCCGTTCTTAACGATGGGTCTTCCGTAAACCAGGTGTTCTTAACCCAGGGACTAACCGTAGCGAGGGACATACACAAAAATTCCTTCATACCCACAAGCAGCTGGCCAAGCCTTTTCTGCTGAATTTGCAAAAAAGGGGGCCAAAGAGAATCTGGGGTTGATAGGTTGGAAAATTTCATGAAAACTAATCTGGCACAATTGTATGTTAAGTCATGGATTTCACATCAGGAGCGTGTTCCACCACTTGCTCGCCTTACTTACCCCGTGGACACCGATGTCTCCCCTGTGACAAGTCCTTCCCTAACCTTTGTTCAATTACAAGTCACTCTATTTCCTTGAACCCCAGCCCCTATTCTTTCTATGACAAGATGAGTCCAGCTATCCTACTCAGCTGACAACAAATCTGGGTGACTATTAAGATTTCAGAAGAAAGGTGTGTGCATGTTTAATGCAAAACTTTGACCCGCTTGGGCTAATCCACCTCCATCATTTTCTTCACCTGAGAGAGTCATTAATCAATCATGGCAAAGGGAACTTGACAAGAGCTCATCATGGTGTGTGCGTGAGCAAACACGCGCTCACACATTCCTGCATACATTTTGTTACCCGTGCGCCCCCTCCGCTGCCCATCTGCCACCAATGACTTTGATAGCGCCTTTAAATGTGCTGTATTTAATAGCAGGCAACTTCCTGCTGGGGAATTTAAAGGCTGTACAGATCAGCAGAAACAACATACCACTGTTTTCCAAACTTGGGGAAGAGGAAGGAAAGGCTCCTTGTCAACTCAGCAATTTTTTTTTTTTTTTTAACGAAACCTTGTCCTTCCTGTGCGTCATGATTCCCAGGATCAAGGGCCCAACAGCAATTGCAAAATTCAGCTATTTTTTTCAGCCACAAACTCTCCTAAACAACAGCTCACTCTTTCCAAAATTATCTTGAGCTGCAACTCTTTTTTAAAAAAAACCTGTTTATTTAGGCCTTCAAGAGAGGTCTTCTTTTTTTCTCCAGAGGCTGAAAGTGGTTTACAGAAGGATCTCTTTTCGTGTTATCCTCTTCACAACCTTGTAAGGGAGGCTGGGCTGAAAGAGAGGGTGGCTGGGGCAAAAGGAGTTTTGTGACTGAGTGGAGATGTGAACCTGGGTCTTCTTCGTCCTCATCTAACACCTCCCCATGGATTGCACCAACTCTGACTCAGTCTATAAACCCAGATTCATCTGTGCGATCATCTGAGTGCAAAAGCTGGACTAGGGAAACCCCTCTGAAGTATCTTGTCTACTTCAGATCCAACCAGTAGCCTATTGCTAATCTTTGCTAAAAGCACTCTCATGCATTTTGTTTATGCCCCACCTTTCATGGGGTGCTCTTTCTATTTTTTCCCCACCACAATAACTCTAGGAGGCAGGTTGGCCTGAGAGAAAAAGTGTCTGGGCCCCAAATTCTACCCAGAGCTTCCATAGCTGAGGCTGGACTCAAACCTGGGTCTCCCAGGTCCTAGTCCAGCCCTTTCCCTACTGACCCATCCTGGCTCTGGGGTTGAGAGGGAACAACTGGGACCACCGAGGTGGAATAAGGATGACCCTTCTGGTCATATTTCAGTCTGAACCTTCCTTAAGTCTTAAGAACTCTTTTTTAAGTTCTACTTTCCCAGAGACAGATGTGGAAAGGCAAAGAGTTGAGAATAAGTGTGTCCACGGGTGGATCACAATGGCAATCATGAACGAATGACCAAAGCTCTGCACTCCCCCCCCCCCCCATGGACATCCCTCAATGGGATATGATTACTTCTGAAGTTCTGGCTGTGCGAAATGTATGGTTTAACCTGTTGTTGCTCTCTGTAAGGACTATGCGTCCAACCAGGGGACAGCAACCTTGGCTGATCTCAAAAAGCTAAGCAGAGTTGGACCTGGTTAATACTTAGCTGAAAGACTGCTAGAACATCCCAAGTTTGTCAGTAGACTGGGAAACCCAAAGAAGTCAGTGGGGTAGATGGGGATTCGAAAGAGCACCCATAACAAGGCAACAGGAAGCCATTTCTGTATTGTGGTCAAGACCCCTACATGGAAGTGGACATGAGGTCACCAGGAGTCGAGTTTGATTCGATGGAGACTTTACCACCCATGTCTCAAATAGCTAAGAGCTGACTGGTTCTTGGATGGGAGACCACCAGGTCTATACTCTAAACTGGGATGGAAAAAAAATACCATCCCAGAAGAAAGCAGTGGGAATATCCTTCCAGGAAAACTGAGAAGACAACTCCATAAAGCCACCAGGAATTGAGCCTAAAAGGAGAGAGTTTAGGACCTGGATACCCACCATTCTCAGTGATGATCTTTGGCACCTCCTTGGCTGCCGGGGACTGGCACTTGATCTTGTTCCCCGACACCACGCCGTCCATTTCCGCCAGGTCCCCAAAGGTGCAATTGACCCCGTTGGACAGTTCGGGCACGTTGTAAGTCTCCAACACCAGCTGCGGGAGAAAAGGGGAAGAGGCGTGATGAGAAAAAGCGGGGCAGGCTGGGGGGAAGACCTCAGGGGGAAGAGCAATGCCTCTCTTTCTGTAGGAGCTGCTTTTGTTGGAAAGGACAGGATGCAGGCACAGCCCCAAAGCTGCAGAAGGGAAGTCAGAGGGTCTTGACGTTGCCATCACCACTGAAAAGGAGCCATGCTGGGGATGTGGAATGGTGTGCTCTACCTTCTGCATGCAACATGGGGCGTCTTTGAATGTGGCTGTGAGGGCCCAAGTTGGCCAGGACAGGGGAGGGGAGTCCCCACTCCCAGGAGGCTTTTGGAAACCTTCCCTGTGCCAGTCTAAACTCTGGCCTCTTCTAGCATCACCAGCAGAGGGAGCGCTCTCTGCTCTGGTGCATGTATAAAGCAGTCTAGTTATAGATGCGGGTTAGGCAGAAAAAATAAGAAAAATAATAATAATAATTTAAAAAATGCTGGCTGAGGAATTCTGTGAGTTGAAGTCCACATGTCTTCAAGTTGCCAGGATTGGGAAATACTGCTGTAAAGGATACAGCCAAGGAGGGCAGAGACTATGACACCATGGAGATGAGCAACCTTGACCTGCTGCTGAACATGAAATTGCTCTTGCTGGACTTCTATCTGGTCCTTGGAAAAAGAGGACACATTTAATACCTGGTTTGCCCAAATGAGACCAACCCAGTGGGATCATCCTCCTGACTCTCCAACAAAATTGTGGAGACTACCAAAAAGACAGCCAAGTTCTGCTCAGTTGTCATCCTGTTGGGTTATTGGAGGCTAAAAATATGTAAGGCAGGAAGTAACTGATTGTACTGTTATTTTTTGGAAAGTAAAAAAAGCATGCTGGCCGGGGAGTTCTGGGATCTGAAGTCTACACATCTTAAAGTTCCTGAGGTTGACACACACTGGCTTAGAGCATGACTGAATGGGGCTTCATGGCAGCTTTCTCTTGACAAACACCAGACTTAGAAGCAGCCCAGGCAGGTAGTCAAGACCCTTCTATAGATGGTAAATTTTTTACATCTTTGAAAAGAATTGGTGCTCTGCCCCTCCCACAAAACACAAGTGTGGTTCTCCAGCTATATAACAGCATCTTGTCTTTGATTTGCCTTGAAAAAACTAAGCCAGGTCAGGCCTGGTTAATACTTGGACGGGGAACCACCAGGGGATCCCAGGGCTGTAAATTAGACTGTGAATCCAAAAGCCCCTCCTAGAAGAAACTAAACCACCAAGGACTCCGTAAACCAAGGACTCCATAAACTCCAGAAGAAAGTGAACCACCAAGGACTCCATCAACCCCTTCTGCCTCGTTGCCCTAAAAGCACCACCAGGAGTTTAGCTTGACCCAGAAGAGACTTTATTTTTAATTTAGCAACATTTTAAAGCTCTTGGACGCTGCTGAAAAAGCACAGGCCCCATATTTGGGGCAAGGACTCTTTCTAGGCCTCTCTCGGCAGTTACAGCTAGGAAAAGCCTGCAAGTCTTTCCTTTCTGAATGCAACAGCCTTCCTGCTCTCTTGTTTTACTCCCTCCTACTAGGGGAGCCAAGAATAATTTTATCCAGGCGATTAGCACTCCAAACGATTAACCAACGCCCTCCCCAGTGGCTTAGCGGTAGCATGAGAAAAGAGAAGGACAGGGGAAAGATGCAAAAGCCCATCACTGAGGCACAGCTGTCCATCCATTATGAGCCAGACAGGATGGAAATGCAGACAAGGAGCTCAGAGCAGGGAAGGGAATCAACTGGGAGATTCTGGACATTCTCTCCAGAGACGGGGGACTCCAGAAAACATCCCCGAGAATGGAGGGGTCTTGAAGAGTGCCCTTGGAGCAGCGAGGGCACGCAGAAAAGCGTTGCCTACCACCTCTGCCCTCAGCTGGAAAGAACTGGCAATGGTGGCAGGCTGTGGTTGAGAGCTTCAGAAGATGCTCGACCGACGCTAAGCATGCACCCAACCGTTCTGCTGTTTGGAGCTTGGAGGCTTTGAGTTAGAACCGCTGTAGCATGGGGATTGAGCATTGGGGGTTAATCACAAAGGGGATGACCTGGTGGAGATACCAGTTTGGGGCATCAACAGGGCAAAGAGAGCTAAGAGACAGTGGTAGCTTTACGGGATCCCCGGATGAGAGCCAGCATCCAAAACAAGGTATAGAATTGAGATTACAAGCTGTGGTTGTATTCAGACTCCAGTTCCTTAGACTAAGGTCAGAATATGCAAAGTGCAGCCTAAGGTCTGTACACAGCTCTCCACCATCTCTTTTGTGACCCCCTGAGCCCCCACTCCAAAATGGATGGAGGTAAAATGTCGGGTTTGTTTTCTCTGCATTTCACAGAGTTTGGGATCACTGAGATTCAACGTAGATGCTTAAGCCTTGTGGAGGTTTA